CCTGAAATTCTTCCAGTTGATCAAGAAACTAAAGAGAAGGTGGGAGAATCCTCATGGAATCATGTAGAAACTAAGGCTGCAAACTGTTCCTCAAGAATGCACTGCCTTGCAATGCCTGAAGAAAAAAATCATTTTAAGAGAAGTACTGGCTCTTCAGATGGTCAAAGCAAAGCAGGGTCCGATTTCTCCAACTTAGACTCTGAAGAACACAAAAAAGGACCTCTGAAGACTGAATTGTTTCCTGGTAGCAATGCCACTTTCAGAATACTAGAGGTACTGTACTCAAGGGACAAAGATGGAAAGTGACAAATAATTTGAAAATGTACATTCCATGTTATTTTAGTAACAACCTGGATCTTATAGGTGGAAAATGATCAAATCTAAATTAAATGTTCAGTATACTTTTGTTCATAAATCATATTTAAGGGACTCACATCTTTAATCAATGAAGTTTTAAGTTTGTGGATTTAATTTCGTTTTGGTTGCTTTTTTAAAAAATTCATTTTCATTTTAACTTGATGGCAGTTTTAAGTACTAATAAAGTTTTGGTCTTAATTTTACTCTGTTATTACCCCTTTTTAGGTAAAATAGAAGTAAGCGAGATATATAATTTGCTATAATCTAGTATAGACCTTGGTTGGTTTTCTATTTTTTTTTTTTTTTGAGACAGAGTCTCACTGTGTTGCCTGGGCTAGAGTGCCGTGGCGTCAGCCTAGCTCACAGCAACCTCAAACTCCTGGGCTCAAGCGATCCTCCTGCCTCAGCCTCCCGAGTAGCTGGGACTACAGGCATGCGCCACCATGCCCGGCTAATTTTTTCTATATATTTTTAGTTGTCCAATTAATTTCTTTCTAATTTTAGTAGGACGGTGTCTCGCTCTTGCTCAGGCTGGTCTCGAACTCCTGAGCTCAAACAATCCACCCGCCTCAGCCTCCCAGAGAGCTAGGATTACAGGCGTGAGCCACCGCGCCCGGCCGGTTTTCTATTTTTAAAACTAAATCCTATCTTTCAGATCATAAAGGTAACATATTGATTATGGAGAATCATCTTAAGATGTAAACATCAATAAGAGAAAAGAAATTATCCACAATCTTACATGCAAAGGATTTAACCACTATTAACGTTTCATTGACTTTTTTGTTCTTTTGTTTATACTTTACATGTATTTTAGGGTTTTGCTTTGTTTCTAATTAACATTATATCATAAGCAGTTTTCTCTATCTTTAAAAATTCTTTATGAACATTTTTATGGCTGCAAAATATTTTACTATGTGGAGTACTAATATTTTACTTACCTATTTTCACACTACTGGAGCATTTAAATTGTTTTCAGGTTTTTGAAGCAAACTTCTTTGGGTATAGAGTTTAGCTGCATTTTCTTTTGTTGTCTTGGGTTAGATTTACTAGTTCATGATGTATGAAAATTTTTAATACACTTAAAACATATTGCTAAATTACTTTCTAGGAAGTTGTACTAATACCAATTCCATGACAGTGTATGTCTGTTTCATCACATCCTCATTGGTTGGAAGGTTCTTATTTTAGTGTTTTCCACTTTGTTAGACAAAAATTGTATCTTGTCTTAATTTGAATTTCTTTGATTACTAAATAGTTCATATAGTTGTTGAAATGTTTAGAAGCCATTTGTACTTCTTTTGTGTTCTGTCCATTTATTTCCTTTGCTTATCTCTTTTTTTAATGAGCCCTGCCCTTTATCATATTTATTGCAAATATTTTTTTCACAGTATGTTGGTCACCTTTTAATTTGGTTTATTTGGGGTTTGGGTGTATAAAAATTTTAAATGTTTCCATAGTCAAATTTCTCAGTGTTATTCTTGTGATTTATTTTACTTGCTTTTGAGTTTAGAAAACTCTACGATACCCAGAGGTCCAGTAAATTTCTTATTTTTTGTTTTTTAATAGAAAATCTGACATTGGTAATGGAAATTTAACCTTGCCTTCATGTCTGTTTATTCTTTTGATTTCAGGTTGGCTGTGGGGCTGGAAATAGTGTTTTTCCAATTCTGAACACCTTGCAGTGAGTTTTAGAGTTTTATTCTACAGACTTTTACATATTTATGGAATGTTGAGAAATTCTGGAAAAATGTTATCATGTATATGCCAGTAGTTTTCTTAATTCTTTTATAAACAATGACTAAAGCAAATTTCAAAAGAAATGTCTTAGGCTGGGCGTGGTGGCTCACGCCTGTAATCCTAACACTCTGGGAAACCGAGGCGGGTGGATCATCTGAGCTCAGGAGTTCAAGACCAGCCTGAGCAAGAGCGAGACCCCGTTTCTACTAAAAAAATAGAAAAATTAGCTGGACGACTAAAAATATATAGAAAAAATTAGCCGGACATGGTGGCACATGCCTGTAGTCCCAGCTACTCGGGAGGCTGAGGCAGTAGGATCACTTCAGCCCAGGAGTTTGAGGTTGCTGTGAGCTAGGCTGACACCACGACATTCTAGCCCGGGCAACAGAGCAAGACCCTGTCTCAAAAAAAAAAAAAAAAAGAAATGTCTTAGTCTTAGTGGCTATTTTCACGTGAACTGGGAATTACTCTGAAAATAGTATTTCCCAGCCATGGATTTGAAGCCATTTTTTAAGCTTGTGTTTATGTGGATGAGAAAATAAGTATAGATTTCATTCTTCCACTGAGCTGTGAATCGCTAAACGTCAGAGATTACTTTCTCTTCTTGGATACTTAGATGTCATTTTACACATAGAGAATTGAGTTTAAAGCTTAAACCTTAATCCTCATTTTATTTTGTCATCACTTCTGGAACAACATCCTGCGTAAGATCTTTAGATGTCAACTCATTGTGTCTAGGCTTGAAATTATTTGAAGGTAGCAGCAACTAATCCTAAGACTCCAAAGAGCAGAAGCAGATGATAGGGACAGAGAGGTTATCTTGACTCACCCTTCCTGTTCACCATCTCACCTTTATGTTTTAATATTTCCATGATGAAATATTATCCACTTCTCAAAAAACTCTTCAAACACCTTTTATCTATGGTTGGTCTGTCAAGTTCTGTTTTTTTAAGTTTACACAACAGCTTTCACATTATTTTTCCATTATAAAACCAGCATAAGCACATTGCAGAACATTTCCATTAGAGGAAAAGGGGAGGGAGAGAATCACTCATCATCCCTACCATCCTAACACAGCCACTGACAGAAATTTTGTTGTGTTTTAATTCCCTTCATTCTTTTCTCTATGCATGGTTTTCTGATTTAATGATGTGATCTTTTAAACTTTTCATGATGAAAATGTAAAGCACTCAGAAAAGCAAAGAGTAGTGCAACAAATTTCCATATACCCACCACCTCGATTCAACAATTATAATACTAACATAATGCCAACATCATGACACTTTAATTTTTCAGGATATATCTGCAAAAAGTCAAGTCATTCTCTAATACTATTATAAACCTAATATTGTGAATAGTAAGTGATTCCCTAATGTCACCTTTAACCAGATACAGTGGCCAGGCACAGGTGATGCTGGTAAACTTACAGTTCTAAATGGCCTTTCTCTTTTTCTATTTATTATCTTTGTTTTCCCTTTTCCAGTTTCTGGGCTGAAATTTCTGTTTCCTTATACCACATAGCCAGGTTCCTTTACTCAGTGATCTCTGAACTTATAAATACACATAAATATGCCACATTGGCAGTTGATTATGTGTTACTTTATGACTGATCTTGGGGTATTATTTAGCTTGTCTTTTTGCCTTCTTTGTCTTTCCAACTGCTTTTTATATTCCTTGAGGCAGAGAGCGTATTTCATCCTAATCTGATTTCCCGGGTTACCTAACAGCGCAATATAGAAAGCTAGAGCTCAGCACATACTGACTGATTAATATCTTGGATTCCCCCTTTGTTCATTGTATTTTTCCCCCTCCACTTCTCCCTCCAACTTATAGTTGCAAACTCTTGGCTCCTCACTAACTCTTTCCTCTTGGCTGTATCTTTCTTTGCCTCATACCCATGTTTTAGAAATCATTATAGCTCAATAACCTGAGATAATTCATTCATCTTTAAAAGGCAGCCAGTGATTAGCCTTCCAAAGGGAGGATTAGACTTTTTTTTTTCCACCTAAGAAATTATGTTTTATTACTTTTGGAGAACATAAGATTAATGTTTTACATTTTCAGAATATTTTACCATAATTAGATCTCTGGAATTGAGAGGTCATATCATTCTCCAAGGATCATTTAATTCTTAAACCCCCTGCCAAGAGAGTGCTTGGTGGTATGGTGGTGGTAGTGATGTTTACACCTGCTTGCTGGGAGAAGGGCCAAGGCAGTCAGCTGATTTTACAGAAAGGCTCTGGAAAGTCATTGCGTGGTCACAAGACTTCAACTTGGGCTGCTGATGCAGTGGGAATTCAGTCTCAGAGGTCATGCTGCCACCCTGGTAGGATACATGGCAAATGGCACATGCTTTCCTTTAGCTCCTAAACTGTTCTGTATCTTTTGGGTATTCAGTAACTACTGCCCAAAGGTAGACTGCAGACCTTTCATAATGAGCTAGATGTACCAGTGTCCAGAGAATCATTTTAAGTTATAGAGAAGTTTTTAGAGGACCGTGTTAGTTTTTAAGTTCCTAGAAGGCAGAGGCAAATCTCCTTTAAAAATAATAGTAATAATAATAATAGCAACAACAATTATTAACAATGACTGACATTTATTGAGTGCTTACTCTGAGTCAGACACCTTTCTGGGAACTTTACCTGTATGAATCCATGTAATCCTCCCAAACACTTTAGATGCTATGCTTATCTCTATTTTAAAGATGAGGAAACTAAGTTAAAGACAGGTTGAGTAACTAGCCCAAGGTCACACAACTAAGTAGTAGAACCAGGAGTCAAACCTTAGGCAGTCTGGTTCCAGAGCCCTTGTCTTTAACCATTATTCCACATAATGCTATGTGCATCTGAGTGTTAACTGAGAACATTTCAAACACATTTGGCCACCCAGCAAATTACAAGCCACAATTATATGGATTTCATAGGAAACAACAGGGGTATATACTGAAATAACATGCTGTTTTTATATGAGACAGATGAGAAAAGACCAAACAGTACAAGTTTTAACTTTGATTCAGTATTGGCTAACTTTTTATAACCAAATCCTATTTATCATACTTTAACTTATTTAGATGGATCTTAAATTGAATGCAAATCCCGAGGTCCACAGAATGAATGATTATATGTGAACATAGTTATTCATCAGTCCCTTTAGGAGTGTAATCTGGCCCTGCGCAGTGGCTCACGTCTATAATCCTAGCCAGGAGTTCGAGACCAGCCTGAGCAAGAGCAAGACCCTGTCTCTACAAAAAATAGAAAAATTAGCTGGGTGTGTTGGCATGTGCCTGTAGTCCCAGCTACTTGGGAGGCTTAGTCAGGAGGATGGCTTACGCCCATGAGTTTGAGGTTACAGTGAGCTATGACGACGCCACTGCACTCTAGCCTGGGCGACAGAGCAAGACTCTGTCTTAAAAAAAAAAAAAAACAAAGTGTAATCTGAGCCTGGCTGAGATTTTGGTAAATACATATTTATGCTTGTATTCCATAATTATTCAGAAGTCCTTCGTGCTTGAAATGCCTCCTGAATCAATCGGAAGTCCTCATTTTGTGTCGAGGCCTGCCTTTATAACCTGCCATATACCAGTTTAGGCTCTCAGGATCAGTTCTCCTTCTCATCCCTGGCTTGTGACTCCCACCTCTAAACCCTTATACCATTTCCCTACTCCTTGCTTAGCAATGCCATCCTCCTCCTTCAAAACTTTTAATACTTATCACTTCAGGATGCCAGCCCTCTCTACACCCCTATAGAAGTTGTATAAAACTATTTATGTCCCCAACCAGACTATACAATCCATGAGACGCAGGACCATACTTACAATTACTACTTAATGACATGTTAACCTCTTTCTGTGATTCAGACATGGTGCTAAACAAAATGATGCAAGGATTATTTGAGACCAGGGAGGGTACTGGCCTACAAAATTCAGAGTATATCCCTGTCCATGGATAACCATGGTCCAGCTATCATTACTGAATTTCAAATAAAGGCCAAACAGACCATGTTTGAGTTCAGAGGAGGCCAATTAAAAACCATATGGGTAAACAGCCCCCCACAAAAAAATTGAATTTTCTTCATTTACATATTGTAAATATTTACAATACTCTGATATATATATCAGGGTGTCAGAACCTCTGTGAGAGGCCCAGGAGCCAGAGTTGTGCAGAAAGGAAGGGAAATGAAGCACCAAGGACACAGGCAAACTCTGAGAATCCTTAGAGAAGGAAGGAACTTGGCTAAGCTAAGAGGAGCTGCAGGACATGCTGAGGGTAGCAGGGAAAAAAGGAGGATGGAGGTGCTGACAGATGGCCTTGGAGGTTTCCGGTATGGGAGTATGATGGGATATAAGGCAGACAGGCCCAAGTAGTAGAGGGCCATAAAACTAGGACAGGAGCTTGAAAGAGACCCTATAATTATGAAAAATGTTTGAGACAGTTCTGGGTCAGAAGCAACACCAAGGCACCCATACACCAGCACAGAAAACAATATTTAAGGCTGGGCTTGGTGGCTCATGCCTGTAATCCTAGCATTCTGGGAGGCCAAGGCAGGAGGATTGCTTGAGCTCAGGAGTTCGAGACCAGCTTCATCAAGAATGAGATCCCATCTCTACTAAAAATAGAAAGAAATTAGCTGGACAACTAAAAATATATAGAAAAAATTAGCCAGGCGTGGTGGCACACACCTGTAGTCCCAACTACTTGGGAGGCTGAGGCAGGAGGATTGCTTGAGCCCAGGGGTTTGAGGTTGCTGTGAGCTAGGCTGATGCCACAGCACTCTATCTTGGGCAACAGAGCAAGACTCTGTCTCAAAAAAAAAGAAAGAAAGAAAGAAAGAAAACAATGTTTAAAAAGAAGCAATGACAAGCCCAGTGTCATCCAAAATTCTATTAAAGAAATACTTAATAACGAGTCAAACCTACAGTTTCCTTTCTTCTCTAGTTTGAACATATCTGAACTCTAGATTTAAATATTTCTTCCATTTTCATAGGAACATTCCAGAGTCCTTTCTTTATTGTTGTGATTTTGCTTCTGGAGCTGTGGAGCTAGTAAAGGTAAGCCATATATTTCCTTTACAGAGAGCCCATATAAAGGTCTAATTTATTTGCTTTTGAAGTGATTCCTTTGAAATGTCTCTATCAAATGCTATCTGTGACTATTCTTAACTGAGCTTTTATAATTCCCAGCAATCACATCAACTGATGTCTAAGATATTACCCTAAAACAATAGAAGTTGTTTTCAATTTAAGGTAGATTTCAGGGACTGGTACACCTAGAAAGACCAACACCACATTGAGGGATAGCCAGGAAGGAGACTGACCTACAAAATTCAGACAATACACCCACCCAGGAATAACCATGATCCAAACAGAACTTTTTAAGTGCAGAAACAACACAAGGTGGGCCTCTAACAACGCCACCTACTGACTCATAAAGGCAGTCCTCCTCCATTTTTAAATTTAAAGTGGACTTGTGAAGAATATTTGTTCTCAAGTCCAAGTACTAGCCTTAATTTTTTAGGGCAGCTTGAAATAAGCTAACAATACCGAATTAGAAATAAAGTGCTTTCAGATTTACAGAGGAAAGGCTCTTGGGAGAAAAGGTAAAAAAAAAATTGACCTTTTTATTTTTAAAAAAAATCCCAGAAGTCTACTAACTTCTTTTTGGTTTTTATTCCTTTATCATGACAGTCTCACTCAGCCTACAGAGCAGCCCAGTGTTCTGCCTTTGTTCATGATATATGTGACGATGGCCTGCCCTACCCCTTTCCAGATGGAATCCTGGATGTCATTCTCCTGGTCTTTGTGCTCTCTGCTATTCATCCTGACAGGTAAATGAAGACGAAAGGGCAGAGCCAATGTGTAAAGCCCCTTTATCGGTAGTGGTTTTCAGAACTATCAAAGCGAAAATGACAGTTTTTGGATTTATTATTTAGTGAACTACATTATGTATTATATGCAGACTTTTAAATGCAGTTGTTCCATTTCTTCAGACTTTTCGAAAGAAACTGGTCAAACTACTTCATTAGTGAGCTTTCTGTCACTGTCAGAATGGAGTGAGCATATTCTGGCAAGACACATACCTATTAAAAGTGACAGTGCTTCAAGGAAATTACAAATTCAGAACAGCTAATAGACTCCCAAGAGGGAAATTGTACTTGGTGATCAGAAACAAACATCTTTGATTTAGTGTCTTTCTGAATGCTCATGAAGAGGTGGGCTATGGATCTGTTTGGCTTCACACAGGTCTATTGATGGGCTTTAAAAAATTTGTTTTAAAGAAGCTTATCAGGGAATTAGGGGTTATCAAGGTTTGCCGAATTATCCTGGGACCTTTATGAACGAAGGTTAGCCTGGTGCCCTCATTTTAATATTTATGACTTAAATTTTTATGTTTGTATATTTTAAAACTATATACATAGCTTTTCTCCAGAGAGGAAATATAAAGAGATATCGTCAGCAACTGAAATGATTACCTTACTCCAGGCTTGTGCTTTCATAAGGTTTCTTAAAATTGGGTTTTCACAATTTCCTGATAGGAGATACAGATTTGGCATCAACCCCTTTTTGTTTGGTAAGTGTGATCCTTTCCCACAGACACAGAGTAACCATGTGCTTCTTTCTTTGCAATTATAAGGCCACTAGGACCCTTTATAGTTCTTTTACTCTCCATTCAGAGATAAGCACTTTGATTACTGATGGAAGAACAAATTAGATTTCCCGATAAATCTGAAAGAAAGATACATGTGCACCTGGTGAGATATATCACTTTTTCCTTCCAGTTTCTATAACCTATTTCTTTCTGCTAATCTGTTTAGACTATTGGCATTGTTCAGGTACTAGTAGAGAGATGTCATCTATGTATTTTGTTTCCTTATATGAATAGTTAAAAGGATGGAGTAGGTGGATAGAGATCAAAATTTCCTATTTAACACCCATAACAGGAAACATTTAAATTCTAAATATGACCACAAAAAGACTATTTGAAATTAGTTTATATAATGTAATAATATATTTTCGCATGATTTGAATTTTATGTTAAAGAGAAGGGGAAGCAGACTGTCTTAGGAAGATTGCTTTTATAATATAGTATTTCATGATATTTATTATAAAATAAATTCAGAGGTATTGTGTCAGTGCCCACTTTCTTACCTACATAGAAGTGATCTAAAAACAAGGTGAATGAATAGAAGGGGGGTGGTAGTAAGTGAAAAGGCAAAGCAATGTCTTTAGGGTCATTTAGGACTACAGCAGTGGATTCGACCTCAGGAAAGTTCTAGAAAAGTAGCATGTTAGCAGCTTGGAAAATTCAGGCACAAATAAATGGCAAGCAGTTCTGAGTCTGGGGGATCCCAGCTTAAATGGGAATAAATTGTAGGAGGCTACAAAAGAACCAGCTGTCCTTATCATTGAAATAAAAAAAAGTATAAAATACAGATCCAAGCATAGAGTAGGCATTCAATAAGTATCATATTTTATCTCTTGTTTTCCTTCTTATGTCCCTTGATCCAGAGATAGGTGAGGACAGCAGAGTCAGCCCCAGTGGGATATAAAACGAACGGGACGTTGTCCCATCCTTGTTTTGTCCATCTCTTCCCTGGCCTGCTCCCCGCTGCAGTTCTCAGGAACTGACTCTGGAACTGCATTATGAACTAAGATGAGATGACCAAGAAAAGTAGCTCCCTCTCCCTTCCTATATCCATAACCCCAGATATTAAAGGCTGGTTGGGAGGAATGCAGAAAGAGGTGGCTACATTTTAAAGTATTTGGTTCTTTGTTTTTCTGCATTTTAGTTTCATGTTTGTCATGCTTATAATTACAGAAAGAGATTTTGCTCTGTACATAAATCATTTATCCTGAAAGTGAATATTTTAAGATTTAGATATTGTTTTCTTTCATTGCCAAAGCATAAGGATAAAAACGCAGTGTAAAAATAAACAAAAAATACTTTTAATTTTCCCCTGTATGTACTTGTGTTCCAGTTTTTTAAAAGAGGTTTTCACCTAATCATGCCACCTCTGTCATATTTCTCTCGTTTGATAGTTGCTTTCATTGTCTCACTATCTGCTTCCTTCAGAACATGACATAATCTGATTTTCACCCCACTATTCCACTGAACAGTATATTATTTGGAAGGAATTTACAGATTATCCCATCTAAACTCCTCATTTTTTTTAGCAGTTTTAATTAGCTTGGATAGAGATGGCATAGACTTAGCACATAAGCTGCCATTTACTGTTCCCTGCCCATGGCAGACATTGATAATGGATCTTGTACTCTGTTTGTCATTCCCTGTGAACTCCATGAGGCCTTCTCAATAGAGCTCTGTAGGCAACTAATGCTGATCACTCAGCAATGATACAAGATCTGAAATCTTTGCCATCCCTGGCCCATAATCACACATAAGGCCGTAAACACTTGGCCAAAAACACAAAATGAAGAGCAGTTATAAGGGGTCATATTTGATTGGAAGCCAGGTAAGTAGAATGAATAAGTGAAAGGAAGAAAACAAAGGCTTCCCACTATTGAGCTGGGGCTTGGAGAGTGAATGAAGTTTAAACAGGCAGAGTAAGGAGAGAATTCTTTGAGGGGAAATCACATGAGCAAAGGTATAGGCTGCTCAGAGCTAAGCATATAACAGATGAGGGAAGATGCTTCAGGTTGGAAAGCAATTGGAAAGATGAATTGGGGTCAGTAGTAGGAGATCTTAAGAGCTCAACTAAGAAATTAAAATTTTATCCTGTGGATTAAAATCATGAAAGTTTTGAGCAAGGAGATGATTTGACAAAGCCATCATTTTAAGCAGAATAACCCATCAATAATATGCAGGAAGAATTGACAGGAGAATAATAAAGCATGTTAGGAAATGGATTTGTTTCTAGGCTTAGGAGATGAGGTTTGTACTAAGGGAGTACCAATGGGAAACAAAAAAGAGAAAAAATATTAAAGATGTCATTAAAAAAAAGAGAGGACATAGATTTGATGAGGAGAGTGGAAGAAAAGAAAAATAATTTGTTTTTCATGAGGTGAGTGATGGTACCTTTGAACTAAGAAGTCAAAAGGAAAATGAGCTAGTTTTGAGGGAAAATGTTCCCTGTTTAGGCCAGGCATGGTGGCTCATGCCTGTAATCCTAGCATTCTGGGAGGCCGAGGCAAGTGGATCGTTTGAGCTCAGGAGTTCGAGACCAGCCTCAGCAAGAGCGAGACCCCGTTTCTACTAAAAAATAGAAAGAAATTAGCTGAACAACTAAAAATATATAGAAAAAATTAGCCGGGCATGGTGGCAAAAAAAAAAAAAAATGTTCCTTATTTAGATATGTACAATTTGGGACTGTTCTGGCATACTTTTTATCTTGCAAGGAACATGAAGCATACTCAGTTTTTGTCCACTTCAGATCTTAATTGCTGTAAATATCAGGAAACATCTGTGGTTTAACAGTTAGTTCAGTTTTGATACCCTACATCAAGCTCTGTAAAGTTACCACTCTGGTCATTTGGGTGATTTCTTGATACTCTAGGCCTTTCGTATCTGGTCATTTAGCAAGTTGGTGTTCTTTTATTTCCTCTTTACAAAATATTTTTGGTTTCATTGCCCTTATGTTTGTGGTTTAGATTTCTTTGGCCTTATTGAGCTTTTCTTATTTTGTCTTCAAGAAAGTTAAATCTGGTATATATTAATAAAACAAGATTTCCACAAATACGGTATCTTACTTTGTTTTCAAAGGATGCAGGGTGTTGTAAACCGACTGTCCAAATTACTGAAACCTGGGGGAATGCTGTTATTTCGGGACTATGGAAGATATGATAAGACTCAGCTTCGTTTCAAAAAGGGTAATACTATATTCAGTTTGGGGTTATTTTCATGTATTTTAAAGAATGCTTTGTTTATATTTCATGTCAAGTTGTTTTGTTGGGTTTTGTTTTGTTTTTTTAAGTAATACTAAGTTTCTCTTTACACAAATTTTTTTTAGGGCATTGTTTATCTGAAAATTTTTATGTTCGAGGAGATGGTACCAGAGCATATTTCTTTACAAAAGGTATGCTAATCTACAAGAGGAAATAATTAGCTGTAAATACTCTCATTGGTTATTATCTCTTTGGTTATAGCTCAAAAGCTATAAAAATGAGGCTTCAATCGTTGATTAAACATTGGATATCTTCGTACTTTCATGCTTGTAACTAACTCCTCTATATAAAAGCTTGAAAATGGCCTTTTGCCTTTTAATCTTTTTCTGGTTAAAACTCCTTTAAAGAATCATTTGTTTCACCTTCATACTCAAATGAAGGTGCAGTCTGTTCCATTTTGGAGATACTGTTAGCCCAGATATGAAAAAAATTGATGATATGCCACAGCCAAAGGAGGGAATTTTATTTCATAAGTCTGTAGAAAATTACTTATCTCTTATCAATTTCTCATTTTAAAAAAGCATTTCTGACAGTATCAAATGAACCCTGCATTCAAGGATTTCCCCAAATTTATGTGAGTACTTTTATAATCTGCCATTTTGAGTCTCTGTAAACCAACAGAAACTCAGAAAGGGGGCACCTTTCAAAATATTGAAAACTGCAACCAATAGTTTTGTATATCTGTTTATGCCTGCTCTGTTAGTCTGTTTACACTTGGTGTATTTTTGTGAAACAGAAGAAACCCACTTGGTTTCACAGGTTTCCTTCACCAAGTTGTACTAGAGGGTGTTTCTTGGTTTAAATGAAATTTAGATAATCAGTCATTCCGTCAATGTTCCATTGTTCCTGACCTCCCCCCATCCCTAGTCACTTGTCATGTCTTTGCTTGCCGTTTTTGTCTCACAGGAGAAGTCCACAGTATGTTCTGCAAGGCCGGTTTAGATGAAAAGCAAAATCTGGTTGATCGTCGCTTGCAAGTTAATAGGAAAAAACAAGTGAAAATGCACCGAGTGTGGGTTCAAGGCAAATTCCAGAAACCACTGCACTGGACTCAAAATAACTCCAAATTGGTATTTTCACTCCTTTCTCATGACTGAACTATGTACTATGCTAAGGTGTAAAACCAGAGGACTATATTATTTAAAGACTCCTACAAATCTTTCATTTCTCAAAAGACAATAAAAAGAGAATTTACATTTCTTGTTGTTTTATCATAGGTGAGCTCTTTTGTACATTTTAAGCACTTGTAAGTGATTTGGAAGAATGCGCCTTTTTCTGTGTTTTGAAAACTTGATATGCCCAAGCTTGTTTGGGTTTATTACATCTAATCATTTTGCTTGTCCCTTGGATTTTATAATTATTCTATTAAATTACTGATACAATTCAGAAAATTTTCAGAAACCATAGCTTGCCATTTTTTACAAGTAAAAAATATCATCTACTTTATTTTTACATTAGGCTTAGTAAACCAGTTCCCAAACACAGTCAAACTCTCCCCATTGTCATCTGGTAGCAGAGAAGCAGCACACCTTGTTTCCAGGGAAAGCTGTAACAAGCCTAAGATCAAGATGTATTGTTTTTTGTTTTGTTGTTGTCTGTTTTCCCCAAAGTCGTTTTATTGTTGTTATTGTTTTGTTTGTTTGGTTTGGTTTTCTGAGAGAGGGTCTCACTCTGTTGCCCCGGCTAGAGTGCAATGGTGTCATCATAGCTCACTGCAACCTCAAACTTCTAGCCTCAAGTGATCCTCCTGCTTCAGCCTCCCAAAGTGGTGTAATTACAGACATGAGCCACTGGTACCCAGCCTTTTTTTCTTCTAAATTCAGAGACTGATGTCTGAAATACAATTTTAGTTTCTCTTTCCTTTCTCAAAATTGGGGAAGTATGGCCCATGCTAACATTATTTTCAGGCTATTCTTAGATGCACAAGTTGTTGTAAGCTCTCTTGAAGACAACTATCATACCTAAGATAATTCTTAAATTGTAGCAGTTAAAAATTTATTTACCCCCTTGCCTTAAAAAGGACATAAGTTGGCTTGTAAATTGCACCTTGTAAAAACAGTTTTTGAGATTGGTCTTTTATTCATTATATAATATTTACTGAGTACTTACATGGTGCTGAATTATATGGAATAATACAGTCAATAAAGAATCAACCCTGTCTTCAGGGAGCATAAATAGGATCTAACTGACAAAGCAAAATGTACATATCCCAAACCTCTACATCATAATCTAAGATAATATACAATCAAGTACTCAAATAGGGAACTTACCACCTAGCGGACTTTGATGATGAGCCACAAAAATCTGGAAGAAATGAACAATCTCTTGAAAGGACCACCACTGGAATAATTCAGTTCCTACTATTTTTCCTTTTTTGAATTCACTTAAAATTCAATTTTCTAGGCCGGGCGCGGTGGCTCACACCTGTAATCCTAGCTCTCTGGGAGGCCGAGGCGGGCGGATTGTTTGAGCTCAGGAGTTCGAGACCAGCCTGAGCAAGAGCGAGACCCCACCTCTACTAAAAATTAGAAAGAAATTAATCGGACAACTAAAAATGTATAGAAAAAATTAGCCGGGCATGGTGGCGCATGCCTGTAGTCCCAGCTACTCGGGAGGCTGGGGCAGTAGGATCACTTGAGCCCAGGAGTTTGAGGTTGCTGTGAGCTAGGCTGACACCACGGCACTCACTCTAGCCAGGGCAACAGAGTGAGACTCTGTCTCAAAAAAAAAAAAAAAAAAAAAATTCAATTTTCTGGAAGAACATGATCGGTCCAACTTGGGTCATGGATTCATCTCTTGACAGGCTGGGGCAGGGCAGCTTAACTGATGATGTCACCAAAATGTATGAAATGGACAAGGTTCTTCAAAGGACAATCAAGACACTGTCACCAAAAAAGGTGAGGAGGGATGCTGCCCAGTCAGAGCCATCACATCATATCAGTGGTGGTAGCAATAGGAATAGGAGTTCCAAAGTGAAAGATCAGCTCTGAAAAAGAATGGGGGAAGAATCAGGCTTCTGGGGGAAGGAGGGCCTGAGGCTAGGCCTTGAACATACCTTCTCAGAAGACAGAGAGAAGAAGGCAGGTGTTTTTGGTGTGGGACATTAATGACAAGGAAATGTGGAGAAGGGATAGGGAGAGGGTTAGCTTGCAGACAGCCTGGAACAGCAGGTATCTTGACTTTTTGTCTCTGAACTGGGACAATTTGTGTTTGGTTTGTTTCTGCTTTATGCTGGACATGCTGTATTATAAATGTATTTAGAGAGATTGATAAAGGAGTTGTCCATGGAATGGAATGAAGTCAGAGATCAGTGGCAAGGAAGACCACATAAAGGTTTTTACACGAACTTGCCTTGGTAGCAAGTCCTCAGAAAGAAAATTATTAAGATTTCTGTTTAAACATGCATAAGTCAGTAAATGTAAAAGTTAAAATTTGCCTGAGACTCCTAACTCAGTTGTATTTCATAACTAAAGAATACATTTAAAAGCCAAACTAGTAATGAAAGTATTACATACAACAAGGGCAGTTTAGATAAGTTAATGTTGCTATGGGAACCCCAGCAGATCTCCTTGTGTCTGAATTTAAAAATCATGGCCCAAGGTGGTTTTAAAAACAACAGAAGGTAAAATTATTCTCACATTCTCACACATGTAAATTGTACTGTCTCTCTCAGTTCTAAATAGCAGATTCAAGCCAGCCTCTTGACTAGCACAGTAAAATTCAGCTTCGTGTCTTTCTATAATGTATTACAGCATGTGAGTTAACCTTTAGAAGCTTCAAAAATACATCAACCAAATTTGGACTGTGAGACACAAACTGGTCTCTTTTGGGCTCTGGCCAGCAGAGCCCTCCTATTCCACATAGCTGCGCACCAGGGCCATTTCCACCAGTGTCTTCTGCCTGTCTGGTCAGTCTTTCGCTCTCTTAGCCTACCTGAATCAAACTCCTGTTTAGGGTTTGCTGCTAGACAGAAATGTAGATTTTGGCAGAGAAAAAAAATGGAAAGACCTATTTGGAATTTTGCCTATAGGTGTTAAGAAATCATAAAGTGTGGCAAATGTATCTGCTTGGGTATTAGTTTAAAATATTTGATAACTGCATGAAATTCTAATTTTCCCCCTCACATCCATAAAGCTAGAACCAGTTGGTTAGGCAGAGTTTGATATTTCAAAATTCATCTTCTGAGAGAGCTGAATTTCAAAAGGACCATTTTCTTGCTAACAGAGAAAGGTATATTCCTTCATCTTCCTACAATTCAGAAACAATGAAATATATTATGTTAAAAATGCACCCTCCGTTTTTCTCCATTTCTAAAAATTTACTTTTGAGCCTTATCCAAATGTAAAAATTCTCACACGTGAAGAACTGTTTCAGAAGGTTGTGAGAAAGTCAAGATAACAGTTTCTATTATTAAAAGTTTTGCATTCAGTATGATACATTTGTCTGTATTGAAACACTCACTTAACATTGACTTCTGAGAATTTATTTGTTTTGCCTGTCTCGGTTCCATATGCTTTGTCTCCAGATTGTGAACATATCCCGGTTTCTACCATTATGTAATTCTAAGTCATGTCTATACTCCAGTTTGTACATGAAAATTCACCCATATCCAAATCACTGCCCTCTTGGGGCAAAACCTAAAGCCACCAGAACCATCTGGATTGTTAAACTTCAGACAAGTTAAATTCTTGCCCTAAAACTCAAATGCTATATTTCTACAGTTTTCCAACTCATCAAAGTTCGAAAGCCTGAATATATCACGCATTGTTACTTCTAATTGGGTTGGATGTTTATTATGCTCCTCACAAGTGCAGATAACTTCACATTTGCATCACTAATAGACCTCTTTCAAAGCCTCTGCTCCTACTTCCTGCCTCTATTAGTCATCGGTAGACTACATGTTGGCTTGGGGATTTTCCCCACTTGTGAAAGTGCCTTGTAAATTCTAGAGCATTCAATAAAAGTGAGGTGTTGTTATTGACAACAGCATTTACAGTCTACAAAGCAGCACACAGAGTACTCCAGCGACAGATACTTTTTCAATGGTTTTATGAGACATTGTCAAAAAGACAGTATCAGAAAAAGTATTGCCTCGGAGTCAGACAGGAAGCATGAGTCCTACTTACTATTGAACCGCTTAGCTATTCTGAATTTAGCTCTGAGTGCTAAGTTTTGTATGTACCATGCAGGTTACTTCATTTAATCCTCAAACTCCTATTCGTTTTTATAATAAACACTTAGCAGACTGGGGCTCTGAGCTGTTGGGTAGCTTGCCTGCGATATCACAGCTAGTAAGTGGCAGGGCCAGAATTTGGACCCAGAACTTTCTGATTCTAAAACCTCTACTCCTCACTGCATGTTTAAGTGATAGGCTCGGATGCTGCTGGGAAAGGTGGTAGGGAAGAAAGAGAGCTCTGGAATCAAGCAGAGAACCACAGCAAGGGGTTCCGACGACCTTCAAGGTTGAGGCGCATTCTAGATCCAGTCATTCCGTGAAATAAATAGGTTGCACTTGTCCAAAGTTATAAATTGGGAAGGAAGGGGAAAGGAAACGAGAGGAATGACAAAGCAAAAAGCTTTCAATCAGTTCTTTTCAGCATTCTGCCTATGCCTGGTTCTGCTCCGCCCCACCCCCTCCAGGCTTCAGCCTTCCACTTGGCACCCCTCCTCGCAGAGCGCTCATCACTTGCATACTCCTTACTTAAAAAAAAAAACATTCTGCACTGCAAGGGGGGAAAAAGCCCTTAAAATGTCTTCAAAAGGATTCAGCTCTAGCATAATCTAAAATATGTGAAATCAGGAGGTGTCAGTAATAAAATATGAGTGAAAACATCTCTATTTAAAACCTTGTATGTACATTAATGCCACATTAATACCAATTCAGGCATGAAATGTTGAGCATTTCTTGGAATATGGTTTGGGATTTGATAGGCACAAAAGTACCTGCAAGATGGCTTTAGTGTAGTTATAAATATAAATAGAAGTAAAATAACAGTTGGGTCTTCATTTATAATGAGTCTATATTGTGGCCTCAGAGCTACAGAGCAGAGTGGATGCCAAAATCTGTCTTTCATTAACATATGCCTTAAATGACAGGGAAGAGGTGTTGAAGACAAAATTACTTTTTCCTTTGAGTATGAATCAGCAACACGCAGTAACAAGCAAGTAATAATAGTTCTGCGTGTGAGTTCCTACAGAGGGTAAGAAAAATAGCATCAAATTGAAACAGCAAGTACACCTGCTGGAGGGGCCCA